CCCCCAGACATTCACATACTTTCCCCTCTTAAAAATGGTTCGGGTACTCATGGATGTAACACAAATCTGCAGGACGCACTCAATCCGTTCTGCCCTCTTCCAATGCAGAGTATATAATATTGAGAAGCAGATATTACATAAAAATGAAGAAGCTACATAAATACGAATACTGCATGCAAGTCCCTTTCTAGAAACTGTTACAAAGAAAAATGCTGTAATACCCTCCAGACCTTTGAAATAATGAGTAACACAGTTGACTGAAACAAATTCCATTTGTCTGTCTGTCTGTCTGTTTACAACAAGAATGCAATTAATCTGCATTGTAAAACCAAAAAGGTCAGTACTGTATCTGGTCATAGTATTCGCTCAATGACAGCAACAGAAGCAGTTTTCTTTTACAAAAAGCTTTCCGGGCCTCCTGATACAAGTGTTAACATGGTTATCTTTACCTAGATCCCTTCACTTGCATAACTTACTGTATTCCTAGGGCTTTATGCTCTGTATGTTTGGTGAGTGTCAAACAAGATTCTGGCTAAGTAGGATGGACAAAAATCAAATTGATTTTAATCACAATTTAAATTTTTTAAAAAATCAATTCTAATTTTTAAAATTTAAATCATGATTTAAATAAAATCCACCCTGAACAAGCACAAGTGATACTACAACTATTTGTGCCTACATGTAACAAGTAATATTTTCTACTTAATGGGCATCTTTAGAAGCATTTTGAGTGGAATTTTAATGCATTACTCTTCTCTGTTTTTTTTAAGTTAAAAATAATAAGTAAACTTTCTAACACTGTGATAAGTAATAACAAATAACTCCTGTAAAAATTTTAATACATTATGGGAATTACCATATTTTTCTGTTTATAACACGGCCCTGTTTATAAGATGATGCCCCTCCCACTTTTCTAACCCCAAAATTAAGAAAACATAGCTCTGAGGATTCAGCTTCTGGGCTCAGAACATCGGACATTTTGAATCTCTGTTGAATCTTGAGCCTACAGGCTCCACCTCCAACGAGGTGTGTTCCAATTGGTTTGTTCAGGATCAGCTGACGCCAGTTCCATAAGGCTCATGATTGGAGGAAGCTAAGTCTCCGGACTGTAGGAAGCTAAGCCTCATGGCTGAAGGAAGCCTGTTTACAGAGGCAACGTATGTGCCGTTTTGTTCTCTCCTCAGCCATCTCAGCTTACTTCCATGTAAAAGACGCCCCTCAATTTTTAGTGGCATTATTTTAGGAAAAAGCATTGTATACACAGAAAAATATGGTAATTACTACTTTTTTAAAGGCAACTTTCCAAATTCTGATATTGTCAAAATGTAACATGTCTCTAATTCACAGCTGAGCTGTTGTCCAATCATAAAACTCTCATGAATTTTCTCAGTCTTCTTGAGACAAGCTGTTGACATCATGGTGTTGACAATTAGCTCCCTAGTAAAAGGTCTGTTAGGTTTCACTGAAAGTCATAAGACTCTGGAACTGGATGCTCAGCATTGCTGGCTGGCAATGAGAAAAGGCGTGAAAAGGTTAGAAATTAGCTATGAAGAACCAGGATAGTTGAAGAGACTAGGCTGAGACACATGGATCATGGAGAAGTAAAGGTGGAGAGAACAGAGACTGAAAAAAAAATAAAGCTAGGAGGGGAGAGTAAAAAACAAAGATAGAATGTGCCACATAATGCCAATATTATGGGAGTCACTGTGCTGTTGATACAGGGGAAGAAGCAATACTTGGGGAAGTCAAGGAAAAGGGTGGCAAGAAAGGTAGTGAAATATTGGAAATGCAGCCAAATTAACTAGGGTATATATTTGGCTGCAAGTCTCTGATACATGCTGAAACTATGCAGGATTCCCATAAATGTTGAACTGCAACATCCTTTCACAATAATAGAAGCGGAGTATTACAATTATGAATGAGAAATGCTTGGAAGTTACCATTTTGGCTTCACATAAAGTAGCACACACCCCCACTCCTCCTCAGATTCCTTGCTGCCATATGGGCGGAGTATTACAATTATGAATGAGAAATGCCTGGAAGTTACCATTTTGGCTTCACATAAGGTAGCACACACCGCCTCCTCAGATTCCTTGCTGCCATATGGATACCTTTGGTGAGAAGTGAAATTGTGATGTCATCAGCAGGCGACAACTAGAGTGAGTAAGGATGTAGCCACACGTGGCTATCATCTCAAAAACAAGAGAGCCAACACAGAAGTTGGATTTGCCCACGGTGACTGCCACATTTAGGAATGTGTACAGTATATGGAGGGTGCCAGCTCTGGCATGATTTAAGAACTGTATTTTGAGCTTCTCATTTTAAATATTTTAACTGGTAATTGCGTCAATCAATTATGTAATTTTTGAGGTTCATATTTTAACACACATTAGTTTTTTAATATTATTTTAGTGGCTATACATTGCTTCGAGACATTACTAGATACAGGAATGATTACAGAACAAACAACATCCTGCCCAAAATAAGTATATTTTCAAGTACTATTCCTCCCATTACCATAAGCACTGGCATATGCAAAATGTGGACCATTTTTAAAAGGATCCTTGTGGCTTATAAAGAAACTTTTTTACAAATACAGTGGTGCCCCGCTTGACAATGAATCCACTTTACGATGAGTTTTGCGATCGCTATTGCAGTTGCAAAATGATGATTCAAAGGGGTTTTTGCTTAACGATGATCGGGCCCTTTACCGAGGCAGATATAGTTTACGGCTCTTGTTAAAGTAACTACCACAACTTGAGGACATATCAGATAATGAAATCTGGCTACAATATAACCATGGTGCTTCCTTTGACACCCTAGGTGTGTCAGCTAATGGTAACCACAATAATAAAATACAAATGAAGCAGAAGGCAACTCCTTTATTAGACAACTGGAAAAAAATCAATGTTAGCTTTTGTGAATTAAAATTCACTTCTTCATGCATGCACCAGTATCTTGTGGGCAATACAGAAAAATTACAAATGAATGTCCCAAAAACATGTGGCACAAGTTTGCCAGGTATCTTCTTAAAGTAAGTTTAAAGTTCATTATGACCAGGCTTTGGAGGTGTGATTTAAAACTTTATTCCTGGTTAACATGGGGTTGGAATTTCCCACCCAGCTATTCAAACAGAGGTAGCCCAGACAATACGATAAGATAAACAGTAACTGTATGAAAGGAATGCAAGCACCTTTGGACTGATATAAATGGTA